AAAAAAATTGAAGACATTTTGTAAAATCTAGGAACTATTTACTTTGAATTAACTCAAAGTGAATAAACTCAAATAGCAACATAGTTTGTGTAGTACATCATTAAAAAGGTCTTTAAAAAACAAACATTTTCCAGACATCTATCTCCCGTTTTATAAAAAAGTTTGAACATTTTCCAAAAACTACCCCATCCCTTCAAAAACACCCTATTGGTGAGTTTGGAATATTTCGAAATAATTTCACAAAATTTTACGGGGTGAAAATTGGGGGGTTTAAGCAGTTACGAATAATCTACCTCTACTGATTTGGCCGCTATAAATTCTGTACGGGTGGGTGGTCTTGGTCTGCCTCACCCTACAAAAACATTAAGTTTTTCTGAAGCAGTGCCGGCAAACCCTAACATATTCATAGACACAATGGTACAATTACTTACACGATTGTTCTTCCATTACTATGAAACACATTTTGCAACATTTGAGTTCATCTTCCACATTATAGTCTTCACTCTCCAGGCCATGGTCTACTACAGCATCTGCTTAACCAGGACCACTGTCTTCGCGCATGAGAAGAATACAGGACTGGAATCAAACAAGAATTGTCACACGTTGCATCCTAACTGGCTTTTTATTTATTGCAACAGAAAAGATTGTTCTACACAAACCCAATGTCGCACAGTCTCCTAATTGGGAAGTGTTGATTGGAACAGGTTTTGATCGACAGGACACAATATCTATTATTTCCCAGTAAAAACTGTTAAGATGTTATGATATATTAACGAATTGTTACTTAAATTATCGTAAATTGTCTCTAGTCTGATTTGAGGTATTTCTTTGTAGATTTTTTGCCCTTATGCAGCAGCTGAAGATAATTTAAGTTTTCATGGATTTCTGTCCGGCATATATTTTATAGAACTTGTTTTCTATGATTCAGATTACTATTTATTTATTTCACAACATGTCTATTTTAAAAGTAAATATTCGCACTGTAAACAAGACAAAAAACATTGAGTGTAGTACAAACATAATAGTTCAACATAAGCTCACTCTAGTAAACCAACCGTTCAAGAAACACCGTTTGTAAAAGGCTGCAGATTTCACAATAGAAGGAACAGTTTCTTATAAATAATTACAGGTAACAAGTATTTTAATATTTTATTAACTGAGTAAGTCAATCGTAAAAACCTTAGGTAGGTGTGATTAAGGATAAGCTTAAGATTTTCAATAAATCTTTTAATGATCAAAATATTAATAAAATTTATGTTGTAATTTAGGTGTTTACGTAATAGGGCTGCTGATATATCTTTTTATTTGAAGTTTGAAAATGGACTCATGTCCGAAACATGTAACTTCTACTAAAAAACATAATATTCAGGGTGCTCAGTTGTTCTTTATTTACTACTATAATTTAATAAAATTGATTTTGGATACAGCAAGTGTAGACTGCACTCACATTATTGTAAAATCACATGCCTATTTTGATGTGTATTTAATGTCCGTTTGACTTACTGTAATTGGAACGACAACGTTGATAAATAAACTGTCCCAAGGTTATGCATGCCTTGCAAAGCTTTTCCCTTTGGTCAATAGGAAATCTACTCTGAAGCCTAGTACAGTTCTAATCAACAAATCAATAATTCGGCCTTTGATTACAAATGCATCACCTATCTGGGGATTATCTATATAAAAAAACAAACTCTTCAAAATTCAAGTGATTCAAAACAAAATTCTAAGAATAGTGGTGAATGCTTCCTAGTTTAATGGAAACAGGAATATACATGAAGAGCTAGGAGTGGAGTCTGTCTCGGCCTTTATTGAAAAAAAAACACCTCCGAAATTTGAAGTCTTTATACAATGTTCCTGGTGCACTAGCTTTTCATCTTGTCGAAGCAACTGAGAACAGGAGGCTACGTCGAAGGGTCCCTCAAGATCTTTGGATGAATGAAGCCTGAAGAAGATTGAATATGTTTATCTAAATTAATTATGTTACAGGGTGTCTTAGGTCTGGGTGAACCCACGATGTCATTATTGTTAATTTCTTGTTTATTTTGTTAAAACTTCTGTAAATAATGTCCTCATTGAACAAGAAATAAATGCTGTAAAAAATGACAGTTTGAGGTTAACTAAATATTTATCTCATCAGGGAACATGTTACATTGTTTTCTTCATTCTCAGGTAATGATAATATAGGACGTGCAACAGTTTACGAAAATACATTATTTGTTCGGAAGACAACGTTAGGGACTTCCAGTCTTAAAAACGTGAATGGTGTAAGTCTCTCTACCTGAGGAAAATTCGTTCTTCGCCACACAACTTATTTGAAAATTTTAAATTTTAAAATTGACCTTTTAAGTTACTAAACTAACTTTGTGAGTTCAAACAAAATAACAAGCAAAAATAAACAAAATACTACTGCTAACATGTGTTTACAACAAGCCATCCACAGTATACCAGAAAATTACAAATTACAGTCCAAAGGGAAAAACATCAGTTGTAACTACAGTATTGAGCAAAGATTACACTGAAGATTACTCGACATTGGGGAAAATAGAGCGACTATTTCATATTGGTGACGTTTGAATGCACTGGCGTCAACTCAATGTTTCACTCTTATTTAAGGGTAGATTTTACAAATTAATATTTACTCTTTTATTGTTTACGTTATTTGGACAGCTGTATTCAGTTGAATTAGTATTACAATAGTCAATCAAGTTAGTTGTATTACAATAATATTTACTAGTGGTCGTCCAGTGGTCGAAAACTCGACCAGAAACATGTAATGTACACGTATTGACTATTGGATACTGAAGTAGACACCCCATCTATATGGACCAGCTGTCGCCATTTTTTTTTAACATGTAGTTGTGCGAGCCAATTACCGAATGCGTGTCTTAAATTAAATTTTATCTCTTATTTTTTGTTGCTGACAAAGTTGATGGGTCAACAGTTGCTATATCTCAAGTCATTCCATAAGGTTGACTTGGTAAAAAACATCCTGTATTCGACAGAAATTAGTCATTTAGATCAGCGCAATCTGTTAGTGGCTCACATCAACTACGACGAATTTAAAGAAAAAACTGGTGAGAACTTTAACATGGAGATGGAATGTAAAAGAGGCTTCTCTATTTTCACCTCACGCTGTAAATAAAACATGTGATTGTAATTTCTTCCATTTGTTTTGATCTTCTGTTTATATTTCGTTGTTATTTCGTCACCAGCATGGCAACCCATAAAGCCCATGTGAATTTTTTTAAATTTTAAATCCATTTTTCGTGTTTATATTTGAGCCTATGATAAATGTTTAAAGGGATTCTGCACTTCTACAGGAAAATATATTTTCAACGGTATGCGTAGATTTCCCCTGCGATGCACACGAGCTGAGAAAAAAGGTTTTTAAGAAACATGCTTGCCTATTAATATATAGATAGATAGATAGATAGATAGATAGATAGATAGACAGTAAGCTGTATATGCTAGAATCCAGAATCCAGCTAATCCATCAAATGATAGTATTTTAGATAGTATGCTTTCGCTGAAGTTTTACTTATACACTAGAGAAAGATTTATTTAGTACCGATAAATAAATCACACCCCTTAACATACGTTGTACTATGCTGTATTAAAGCTGTAGCTGATTGCTACTGTATTAACCTAAGATAACTCCTACAATAGGAACTAATATAATAAAATACTTTTTTAACATTTGTACACACGTACGTTTATTTAAAACGTAAGAAATGAGTGAGATTAAAATAAATTAGTTTGTTGGATTGTCAAGTTAAAATTTCCATAATAATAAATTTAAATTCCTTTGAACTTAAATAATACAAGCCGAAATTAGTTATAAAGAAAACGTGAGATTCCTTTGTATGCTTTTACAATCGAAATAAGCATACCGAGCCACGGCTTGGTCTCCGGTACTTATACTGATGTAAAAACAAAAGTTAATTTACGTTAGACCATTTTTAAATCGTATTTTTCTCTAAATGCTCGAATTATACTACATTACATAACATACATATTGATTTTATGTTATACAGTATTATGTTTTGTTATGTTATGTGTGTACATGTATAATATACATGATCATAAATAAACATAGGCTACACAATTACATACTACTAAAATATCAGTGAATACACAAGATTTAGTTCTTCATACTATTCTAAGTCGTAATACCATTCTTTACCATTACTGTGCTTTTATAAGTATTTACTATTCTTTAATGCTCTTCTTCTAACTAAAGTAAGTTGTGACTATTTATAACAACAAGATTAATGTAGATTCTATAGGTTACTTGGTTACTTCTTTGTTATAGACTCTAGAGAACTGTTTATGTGAATATATATAGGCGTACTCTAAGAATATCTACACCTAGAAATCCGTTTCATCAGATCCGTGGATTTTGTGTCTTTTGGTGAATGAATAACAAACTTTTTATAGCAGATTTACACCAAAACTTGCGGCCTATTCTAGTCAGTCATAGCGGCGTGTAAAGGGAGGAAACTCCCAATTTTTTTATCAATGTACTGACTTGTCATAGATTTCCCCCATAATCTTTTAACTTTCTTAATTTCCATACAGACGATTTCCTGGCACTAAAATGCCAACGCCAACTTACTTTGAGAAGAATTTGTCAATGCAATTAATGTTGATTCTCAAATTTAGTCTTTTCGTTCCCTTGCCCCACTGGGCCAAAACCCGTCAATGGTACCCGTAATCTTCATCTCAAGGCTCTCCAAACTCAAACATTTTTGTTTGAAAACTTCTTCTGGTTGAACCACTGACTTAACTGATGGTCTAAGATTTGTTTCACTTCTTCAATTCGATCCCTCTTCATGATGCCGGCAACTTCAATTGAAAACTCAAATAAATTTCTGTTACTGCATCAATAAGCTTTATCCTTAAATTTTTCATATAGAGAAGAAAAATGGAATGTCCAAAACGAAACAACACAAAACCCTTCCCCAGCATGCTAGTTTCTATGACGGCTACCAGGAGCTGGGGGAGTGCAGAGTGCGGACCCCACTACAGCCAAGGCCGAGGAGTCCTGGGGGACTCCGCCAGAGACGGAGTCAGTGTTGTGTGCGCGGTGCAGCAGCTCTCCAGCAGCGCAATGGACGGATTATCAGCACTTCTGGTAGCCGTAGCATCAGCGCTCTTCTGTGTATCTGCGTCTACCCCGCCGCACATGGTCGTCATATTGGCTGATGATTTGGTATGTTATCCTACTTTGATTTACTAAATTTTACCACGTTTTTGGTCGTGTAAGCGTGAAACTAATTAGATAAAAAAGCTATTGGAGGTTGAAGTATTGGTTGGAGATTTTTATTAAAGTGTGTCTTGTTTTGTCAAAATTCCTTGAGATTCAGCTTAGGGGCTGCCAGAGAGGAGATATAATTATTTTATGTGATATGTTCTAAATAATATACCAATTTACAATCAAAATTTTTATCGATTAGGAAAAACTGGAGTTCAACTATCTCATGCATATACTGTACATTTTATGATTTGTTAAAACTCTGAATTATAAATGGTTTTATTACTTAATGCGGGTATAAGTAATTTCAGACATATTCTAGAATTATTTTAAAGGCTTGATTTTGAATCGCATTTACCTAATCCCGTCGCCTACTACAATCGGAATATACACACACATCGGATCTGCAATATTATTATTAATATTTTTTTAATTCTTAACTGCTATAGCTTATGCCGTTTTAGAACCCGTAACGTTTTCAGTAGGTAGACATACTAGAGCTGGTCTAAGACTTTGATTTAAATGCAATGTCAATAGCTTTTTAGCCATTTTGGGAAGGTAAAGGTAAGTAAAGGTATTTTACAATTAACATAGACAAACGTAAGGTTTACAGTAATTCTGCTGTATTAGCTAGCAGTAACTACTGACCTGGATCAGGCGTATTACATTCAACCCCAAATGCTTTTAACCATACATAGGATTGTTATGTTAGGTATTGTGTTTGGTGAATGACCACTCAACAAGGAGGGAATAAGTGTAATGATGTGTTTACTAAACCTTTTTTTACTTCCACGAAGCTTTTAACCTGACAAAAACTTTAATTAAATCCAAAAAGATGAATGATTTTTTTCCAACTAAAATGTTACAGATAATATTAAAAAAGTGTTTACGAAATACCGAGAAAAATCGTTTATGGATTTTGTTAAAATTTGAACTCAACTAGTTATAAATCTAATGCAGGTTATTTAACACGTACGGAATAAAAGTTTTCTATATATTTACAATTGCGTTCTAGGACTGTGTATAAAATCAATTAGGCTTTATTTCTCTATTCCTCCCCATTAAGTTTAAGTGTTTTCCGCTCAATAGTTTTTTATAAATACAGTGTAATATTTATGAACATTAAGTCTACTTAGTTTATTTTTCACGGAGATTATGGGGGGCACTTAACTACAAAGAATATTAATTTTATCAATTAGCCCATATATGTACATAGGATAGTAATGTGATGTTCAAAATTGAATGATTTCCTAGGATAAGAAAATGTTTAATTAATTTAGGTTTTTAATTTTTAATATTAAACAAAAATAACACTTTTTGGGGATACAGTCAAAAATCGTCTGACAAAAAAGATCGGGATGTTCACAAACTTATTGTGAACTTGCAAAACTTATTAGGTATATATATATTATTTGTTCTTTACACCTTTTACACTTATATCGAAAGTACCGGTAAACTTAAACGGGGGAAATCTTGCCTGCGGAAATAATAGTATATCGAAAGTACCGGTAAACTTAAACGGGGGAAATCTTGCCTGCGGAAATAATAGTGTCTATTGACTTATGTAAATTGTAATTTACCTTAAGGAAAATTGAGTAGGAACCACGTTTTTTCGATTCAAAACATTTAGTAGTTTTAACGGGTTGTATAAGTTGGTTGGGCAAAAATACTGTGGAGTAAAATTTAGAGATTGCATTTGGTAGATTTTTTGTGTGAAGCGGAAAAATTATTGCGTTTGCTCTCAAATAGAAACTTTTAAGTATGATATATCATGCATTAGTCATTAAATAACGCAGAAAAGAAACTTTTACCATACTACAAACCCCTGTTATCAATACTTAAATCTGCGAGTCTTAAACATTAACTCGCTTGGTTGTTTATAGCTTATAGCTTATAGCTTGGTTGTTTATAGAGTTTATAGCGAAAATGATTCAGTCATTTAACGTAAGCCTTCTAGGAACCTGTATGACATATAATGTCATTAGTTGTCATTAGTTCTATGACAGTCAAACACCAATCAACAAATTTAATTTTAGATAAAGCCTTAAAGAAGTAAAGCATTTCCAAACTCAAAGGTCAATTTTTTTTATAAAATATTGTTCTGGTTCAACTATACATTTTGTAATCTGCACAGAACAGTCCGTTAAACTTTTCCATCACAAATTACATTCTTCTTAGATAGTATTTTAATAAATTCATTCGTTATGTATGTTCTATAAAAAGCCTCGGCGTCCATTCACCCTTTCTCAAAAATTAAACAAGGTTAAACTCAAGCTAAACAAGGAAATGAGCTCAGTCTTCCCTTTCACTAAGTCGAATACCTCATTCAAAAACGTACACTAAATTAATTCTATAAATAGAGGGCCCGTGTGTAAACTGCACATTTTAATAGGGTTCAAAAACTTGTTTCAGAGGCAAAACGAATAAAGGAATATCCTTTTACCAAGTTTTCGTAAGACAATTATTAGGTGAATACAAATACTGTGTTATTTTCCAATTAAACATTGTTAAATTGGACAAGTACGCTTTAAATAGTGATTTGCCTACCTCAGTCAGGTTATAATTATAAAAAAAGTAGCCTTTAATCCATTTTCATAAACTGGTTTGTCTCAAGTTCACAATCTGACTAAAAAAACATCGAGGGCGAAGTCCCAAAGGAAATTACCTTTTTAGTCATTTGTCACTCTTCAAGATCGTAAGCTTTAAAATGAGACCTTAGTAAAAATCTGTTAAGTAGGACAGCTGCATAAGGGGTGTAACAGAGAAGTCCGTGTAAAAGCTAATCCGTTGAACTGAAGACACTAGAACTTGACATCATTTAAGTTTATCTTGAGTGCCTCAGGACGTATACGTGCCTCCAGGATGGAAGACAGATAGGGCCTATTCCACTTGAACTTGGCATTGACATTGGTACAGTAGCTACAGGAGGTCTAGGTCAGAGAGAGTTATATCACGAGAAGGCCAAGTCACACTACAGTGGGAATCTACTCTGCCAATGACCTGCTTATGTAACTGCATTTCGCTATCGCTGCAATCATTGTAATATTTATCACACATAGTCAGTCCCTAGTTTAGTGCATAATCTTGCCTGTTGTATTTTTTTTTCTTTTTTTGGGGGGGGGAGAGCTTCAAACATCACTGTAAATATATTTAACAAGTTTGAATACAAATTACTGAGGACATTTTTTTTATTATATAGAAAACTTGTATTAAGTCTATAGAATATTATATTACCAATCGAGACGGAGACTACTATACTCCATTTTAGACTCCACGAATTCAAGCTTTTATTGCTGTTTTAAAGTTGTTGCCAATTTGGAATGCTCTAAATGCAGTTTTCTTTTCTACCACACGAAATTTATAATCATTCCACACTGTCAGGACAACTTTGTTAAATTAAACCTCTTGACCATGAGATGTATAGTACGGAAATCTCAAAATAGAAAATAGAGCTTATAAAGCACGACGCTCTGTGGGAGACTCATTCCTTAAAAACAAAACAAACAAAACACTGACAACATCAATATGTCCATAAGGGATGTCGACTCAAGTCTCCGTCCTCCTTCAGAAAACACTGACAATATCAATATGTCCATAAGGGATGTCGACTCAAGTCTCCGCTCTCCTTCAGAAAACACTGACAATATCAATATGTCCATAAGGGATGTCGACTCAAGTCTCCGCTCTCCTTCAGAAAACACTGACAATATCAATATGTCCATAAGAGATGTCGACTCAAGTATCCGCTCTCCTTCAGAAAACACTGACTATATCAATATGTCCATATGGGATGTCGACTCAAGTCTCCGCTCTCCTTCAGAAAACACTGACAATATCAATATGTCCATAAGGGATGTCGACTCAAGTCTCAGCTCTCCTTCAGAAAACACTGACAATATCAATATGTCCATAAGGGATGTCGACTCAAGTCTCCGCTCTCCTAAAGAAAACACTAACAATATCAATATGTCCATGTCGACTCAAGTCTCCGTCCTCCTTCAGAAAACACTGACAATATCAATATGTCCATAAGGGATGTCGACTCAAGTCTCCGCTCTCCTTCAGAAAACACTGACAATATCAATATGTCCATAAGGGATGTCGACTCAAGTCTCCGCTCTCCTAAAGAAAACACTGACAATATCAATATGTCCATAAGAGATGTCGACTCAAGTCTCCGCTCTCCTTCAGAAAACACTGACAATATCAATATGTCCATAAGAGATGTCGACTCAAGTATCCGCTCTCCTTCAGAAAACACTGACTATATCAATATGTCCATATGGGATGTCGACTCAAGTCTCCGCTCTCCTTCAGAAAACACTGACAATATCAATATGTCCATAAGGGATGTCGACTCAAGTCTCAGCTCTCCTTCAGAAAACACTGACAATATCAATATGTCTATAAGGGCTGTCGACTCAAGTCTCCGCTCTCCTTCAGAAAACACTGACAATATCAATATGTCCATAAGGGATGTCGACTCAAGTCTCCGCTCTCCTTCAGAAAACACTGACAATATCAATATGTCCATAAGGGGTGTCGACTCAAGTCTCCGCTCTCCTTCGGAAAATACTGACAATGTCAATATGTCCATAAGGGGTGTCGACTCAAGTCTCCGCTATCCTTCGGAAAATACTGACAATATCAATATGTCCATAAGGGATGTCGACTCAAGTCTCCAAAATCAGTGTTTATTGATACAAGTCCCATGTCGCAAGCATATTTAATATTATTTCTATATGTTTCCAGGGATGGAACGATGTCGGTTTCCACGGCTCTGATCAGATCCCAACTCCCAACATTGACGCTTTGGCCTACAACGGGGTGATTCTCAACAGCCACTACACTCCCGCGCTCTGCACTCCCTCCAGATCTGCCTTCATGACTGGAAAATACCCCATACACACCGGTGAGTACACAGAGTAGCCTACATGCCATAGAGTACATAGTGTAAGCGTTAGTTCAAATTAATGTCTTTTGTGGAATCAAAATAATTTAAACGTCCAAACAGTTCTTAAATTGCAACATTGTCTATTTTTATCAATCGTATTTTACCGTAAGGCTAGACTGTTGAATTGGTGAAGTTAATCGGCGATGCGAGTTGCAATCCTGTTGTTCTCAAGCCAATGATGGGTGTGAGTAGAATTTCCAGTGACTAGTCTAACAGGTTCTCCATCAATATAAAATTGGACAGACCAATAGTCAACGACTTCAGGGTTCAAAAGTAATTTCCTTTCTATTTTAATATTAACGTGATAAGAAATCAGATTTTTTTAAATATTGAGCTTCTTTCAAACCCTAAGTTAAATGAAAAAAAATCTCAAAGTTAAATCTAAAACACCAATTCCTAATAAACTCGTTTTGCGCTCTATATACGAGTGTTTTTTATACAGCTCAAACTCACTATATAAAATCTCTGTAGACAAGCTCGGGCCCTTACACAACTACAACACAGTTACACCTCATTATTACATCAGGCATGCAGCACCTGGTAATTTTGGAGGCAGAGCCATGGGGACTGCCTCTACACGAGAAGTTGCTACCAGAGCACCTGCGCACCCTGGGGTACCGCACCCACGCCATCGGCAAGTGGCACCTGGGCTTCCACAGACAGGAGTACACCCCCACCTTCCGTGGCTTCGACTCCCACTACGGCTACTACCAGGGCTTCCAGGACTACTATGATCACTACGTCAAAGCCACGGTAGGTCCAACTTTGTAAAGTGGTAAAAATAAGTTTACCAAAGCATGTCCTAAGCATATGGTATTTCTTAAAAGATGGTTCCATTACAAAGTGAAGGTGTGGTATAATGACATCTCCATGTGGATAGAAGGAGGTTGTGATCTTTTAGATTAGTTAAGGTCCATTAGTTTCAACGAACTTAACTTGTTTTCTACTCTATTTAGTTGTCGAGAATACTCTGTATTGAGACCTAAAGTTAGAATATGCATGTTAGGGCACTTTGCGTTAAGCAAGAAGGCATCAAATAATACTGTACTTGTACTTTGTATACCAGAGAGTTTTTGGTTGATTTCTACTGCTGTCAATTCTATCGTGGAGAAGTAATGTAAGAAATAATCTATACAGTCAAACATCTTATGTATAAAACATTTACCCATGTATTATTTATTTTAGCATAAAAAATTAATTTTAACACCTAGTGAAGTAAAATTCACATTTATATATGTATACATATATATACCTCCTCCTTGTATGTTGCCAGTTCATTTCATATAAACCTTGTCCTTGTATGTTGCCAGTTCATGTCATGTAATTCTCCTCCCTTGTATGTTGCCAGTTCATGTCATATAAACCTCCTCCTTGTATGTTGCCAGTTTATGTCACATAAACCTCCTCCTTGTATGTTGCCTGTTCATGTCATATAAACCTCCTCCTTGTAATTGCCAGTTCATGTCATATAATCCTCCTCCATGTAATTGCCAGTTCATGTCATATAAACCTCCTCCTTGTATGTTGCCTGTTCATGTCATATAATCCTCCTCCATGTAATTGCCAGTTCATGTCATATAATCCTGCTCCTTGTAATTGTCAGTTCATGTCATATAATCCTCCTCCATGTAATTGCCAGTTTATGTCATATAAACCTCCTCCTAGTATGTTGCCAGTTCATGTCATATAAACCTCCTCCTTGTATGTTGCCAGTTCATGTCATATAAAGCTCCTCCTTGTAATTGCCAGTTCATGTCATAAAATCCTCCTCCTTGTAATTGCCAGTTCATGTCATATAAACCTCCTCCTTGTATGTTGCCAGTTCATGTCATATAATCCTCCTCCATGTAATTGCCAGTTCATGTCATATAAACCTCCTCCTTGTATGTTGCCTGTTCATGTCATATAAACCTCCTCCTTGTAATTGCCAGTTCATGTCATATAATCCTCCTCCATGTAATTGCCAGCTCATGTCATATAAACCTCCTCCTTGTAATTGCCAGTTCATGTCATAAAATCCTCCTCCTTGTAATTGCCAGTTCATGTCACACAAACCTCCTCCTTGTATGTTGCCAGTTCATGTCATATAAACCTCCTCCTTGGAATTGCCAGTTCATGTCATATAAACCTCCTCCTTGTAATTGCCAGTTCATTTCATATAAACCTCCTCCTTGTATGTTGCCAGTTCATGTCATATAAACCTCCTCCTTGTAATTGCCAGTTCATGTCATATAATCCTCCTCCTTGTAATTGCCAGTTCATGTCATATAAACCTCCTTCTCGTTTGTTGCCAGTTAATCTATCTTTTATATTATTAATGCGCTACATGAAACCTTGTGAACAATAAGGCTTTTTTATTTTAAGATTAAACCCCACATATTATATACCAAAATGTTCGTCTAGGTATGTAGATTTGCAAACTGGCCTTACATTTCTGAAAAGTCCCATGGCTTTTAAAGTTCCCACGTTATCCTTATGAAGAACATACTTGGTTACATTATGATCACTTGGTTGATTTATTTGCTGTTTATTTTAGTTGAAATTTAAGGAAACTTGTGCTACAAACATTACTGACTTGGAAATAAAATATTTACAATTTGAATTTGGTTTGGCGTAAATATGGAAAATGCGAGAAAGCCTGACAATTTGATATACTAAAAATAAAACTGAATTAATACTGTGTTGTATTTTTCACTGTGAGCAATCATTGAAACGAAAGAGCCGATTTGCAAACTAGGGAAACATAGGAAAGTCATAAAACACCATCAAGTACAAGAAATATAAATGTTTTTTTAGAATTTATATTCGTTATTATGGACAACCTAACGCGGTTATGAGTAAAAAATGTTGATTATATAGAACTGGCGTGTACATCGTGAGTATTTCCATAATATTTGAGTCGACTCCTAAATCTTAATCTTAAAGTCATATGGAACAAAATTATGACGTTTATTCGTTTTAAAATAAAGCCTGTAATACTTTGCAATTGCTCGAATCCGAGCAACAGGAACACTAGTGTAGTATTGTTCTGCATCTCCTTGTACGTTGCCAGTTCATGTCATATAAACCAACTTCTTGTTTGTTGCCAGTTGATGTCGTATTATTCTGTATATCCTTGTACGTTGCCAGTTCATGTCATATAATCCAACTTCTTGTTTGTTGCCAGTTAATGTCGTATTATTCTGTATATCCTTGTATGTTGCCAGTTCATGTCATATAAACCAACTTCTTGTTTGTTGCCAGTTAATGTCGTATTATTCTATATATCCTTGTACGTTTCCAGTTCATGTCATATAAACCAACTTCTTGTTTGTTGCCAGTTAATGTCGTATTATTCTATATATCCTTGTACGTTTCCAGTTCATGTCATATAAACCAACTTCTTGTTTGTTGCCAGTTAATGTCGTATTATTCTGTATATCCTTGTACGTTTCCAGTTCATGTCATATAAACCAACTTCTTGTTTGTTGCCAGTTAATGTCGTATTATTCTGTATATCCTTGTATGTTGCCAGTTCATGTCATATAAACCAACTTCTTGTTTGTTGCCAGTTAATGTCGTATTATTCTGTATATCCTTGTATGTTGCCAGTTCATGTCATATAAACCAACTTCTTGTTTGTTGCCAGTTAATGTCGTATTATTCTGTATATCCTTGTACGTTTCCAGTTCATGTCATATAAACCAACTTCTTGTTTGTTGCCAGTTAATGTCGTATTATTCTGTATATCCTTGTATGTTGCCAGTTCATGTCATATAAACCAACTTCTTGTTTGTTGCCAGTTAATGTCGTATTATTCTGTATATCCTTGTATGTTGCCAGTTCATGTCATATAAACCAACTTCTTGTTTGTTGCCAGTTAATGTCGTATTATTCTGTATATCCTTGTATGTTGCCAGTTCATGTCATATAAACCAACTTCTTGTTTGTTGCCAGTTAATGTCGTATTATTCTGTATATCCTTGTACGTTTCCAGTTCATGTCATATAAACCAACTTCTTGTTTGTTGCCAGTTAATGTCGTATTATTCTGTATATCCTTGTATGTTGCCAGTTCTTGCCGTACTCCGGGTACGATATGCGCCGCAACCTGACTGTCGACTGGGCCGCTCAAGGTCGATACTCTACGGACATCTTCACAGAGGAGGCTGTCCGGGTGATCCAGGACCACAATCCCCAGGACCCTCTGTTCCTGTACCTCTCCCACCTCGCCCCTCACGCTGGCACTGGTAAGGAGCCCTTCCAGGCGCCCGACGAGGAGGTGGCAAAGTTCAGCCATATCGTGGACCCGGAGCGCCGCGTTTATGCTGGTAAGTCAATGGCGAGGAGTTTGTCAAATTTGAGGACTGATACTGATAGGATGTTATCAGAAGTTTTGTTATTTCGTTGGAGGCAATGGTGGGTTGACACAAAAAAAACAGAAATGTTTCTGTACTTTCAGTACTGTATTTTCAGTTCTGTATTTTTCAGTTCTTTAAGTAAACTATCTAAAACTGATCTTGTTATCAGTATACGCAAGCAGTTTTCCTTTCACAGACATAACTCTATAACGGATGGACGGATTTTAACGTTTGAGGTGTCAAATTAGGGTGTTTTCACGTAGATGTACAAATACGTGTCAGAATAATACAAGTACAGTCAAGGGCTAAATTTCGGGACAGTGGCGCTATCCGTCGACATTGGGGGATTCGAGAATCAAGATTCAATTTTAAGTGTTTTTTGTTTTTTTTAGATACAAAATTTCTGGTTTTGCCTACCACTACTAGGAGTCTATATTGACATTACCTGTATAAGCCGTCACATTGCTGTAGGAAGAAGAAGAGTGATACTGTACTCATTCCTGGTGAAGGTTGGTGGACAGTCATTTACAACGTCTATCGGGTACAGTTGCCCACAACGGAGGAATACCACTGTCTTTGACTGCCACACGAAAACTTGCGTCTCGAAGAGTCTCATTAGTCCTCTGTTGTGTCCTCAACAGAGATTGGTCTTTCCCTTTGCTCTATGTAAACATAGCCTATACTACGATTATTTTTGTTTAGCCTAGCCATGGCCCCCACAAGGGTGGGGCTGGTGCAACTCTGGTCACAGGGCCCGGGCCCTAAGGGGGCCCGGGCCTACCCATTTTTTTTCTTTTTTTTTCTTTTTTTCCCCATTGAAGATCACTTTACAGCAGATCATAAATTGAAGATAAAAAATAATATATATATTTTACAAAAAACAAAGTTAAATAATTGAAAATGTATTCATTCTAGATTCTAAGGTAGTTTATATTTAAATACTATAGGTGCGTAGGTGCGTATGTACTATACAACAGCAGAACAGCCAGCTCGGGCCCCAGTGGCCGGCTCCACAAACTCCATCTACCCCTTCCTCCCGCCAGGCGCCTAGCCACTCCTACCTCATTCCCTCCATAATAAACAAAGTTTGGTTTTATAATTGAACTGATAGTTTCAAGAATGAATCCTTACAGTTATAAGTTAAAATAAAATGTGTAAAGCATTGAAAAATTGACATGTACTATGTACCATAGCTAAGGTGACCAGACGTCCCGTTTTAGGGGGACTGGTCCGTCCCGACAAATCCTCTCGGGACGCTTATTTGTCCCGTTTTATCAACATTTGGTCCCGGTTGCACTTTTATGTATGGAATATTTCAATTAATAATTGCAATCTAGGTTATTTGACACAAACTTAAAAATTCTTTACTTTTGGAGTTTAAAAAATATGAAAGATTGTAATAATTTTGACCTAAGTTTTCTTCCCAATTCGCTCGGTATACTGTCTAAAGCATGGATTGGATAGCATCGGCATCGACAGCATCGGTCATTCTCGGCACTACTCGTGCACATTCGTTTTTCTCCGTGACTACTCGCGCAAGTTCGGCAGCTCACAGGCATCCACTCCCAAAAAATGTAGTATTGTTAAAATTCTTGATGAAAATTGTCACTGAATAAAATATGATTTCATTGGTGTAAGTTGTTAAACTCGATTTACGTAAGTTTTTTTCCTACTCCATATTACAAAGTACAATTATAGCAGTTAAGATAGCCAAACCCTTTTACAGGGAAATAAAAAAGACAAAATATTAATAGGCATGGAGCTTTTGTGTATTGATATAATAGTTTTAATTGCTGAATTCCTGTAATTTTAAGTCTTATAAAACTCATTGAAGAACTCTTTTCTTCCTTAAAAAGGCTGCAAAAGTGCCATTTACCACTCACAAATTTAATACCTAGATTGCCTTAAAAACTCACTAAAATACATGACATTTTCACAATTTTCCCGGGGGAGAATTCCCCGGACCCCCCCTCTAGGCTGGGGGGTATTCCATACCCCCCCGACCCCCCGGTTGGTAGGGGGGCCCGAGCCGGATCCTGGTGACAGGGCCCACAATTAAATGTGGGGGCCATGAGCCTAGCTGAAACCATGGCTACCATGGCGGCATGGCAACCGGTAGGCCTAAGACCCATTTTAATTTTTCGAAAGTGTATCCCATGCAGTTTGTATGCATATTAAGGGCTATGGCCATAATAGATTTTTCCTGGCTAAACCACTGGTCTAGAAATTATTTTTGTTTATTATTATATTATCTTTGTGCCGATTCCAAGACCGAAGTAACAAAAACTTTAATCATATTATACTCTAAAAAGGATATGATTCATTTGGCGAAGTCTCAAATTTAACATAGGTAACATAAAACTACCTAAAAGCTGATTTAATGCCCACATAATCAGAACCCTATTGCGACCAAGAAGAAAACTCCCTGAAATGTACACAACTCCCTATAGTTTTTAATGTATTTGAGTTGTATCATAGATAAATATAGGCCTACTCCCTTATGTTCCATATATGGTTGTATGAAACATATTAATTAATAGCATTGACTATTGATATGTACGCTGGTAATATATTAAACGTCAGTGGTAATGGATTACAGCACGTCAGTGAAGAATCAAGTGTGACTGGTATATTTTGAATCCAAAACAGTGCAAAGTTTAATTTTCATGCCTCATATCGCCCGCATATGAGGGTGATTGCATCAGTAGTGTGTCGGTCAGGGGCGGTCCTCAAGTTCAGCTGTGGGAACTATTGACAAGGTTGCGATGTCAGGGATTCCTCGAAATAGCTCTTTGTGAAGCAGATAAGATCTGTGTTTGTAATCATGAAGTCTTCAAATGACAGAAAACGCACGGAATCTGACTTAAACTATTGCGTGGCAACAACTAACTGTAAAATGTAATACTTTTGTACGGGTTGTTGATGTTGAATGTAGTGCGGAATCAATTGTTCGCAGGCACCAGCATTACGTTAGTACTGTAGTATTACGTGCCTGTATGAAATGTGGTGGAGTTTATGATACTGTATCTGTTTATTAGCGAATTTCCCTATAGGGAAGTAGCTATTACCGTAGGTCTCATGGTAAGACCTAAGCCCGGGACCGATTTACTTTTTCATTTTGATGTCCCCAGAGGCCAAAAACACCATTCGTTCAAATTTTTATATATCTATTATATATATATATATATATATATATATATATGTCCATCCGCACGATAACTTGAGTAATTTTTGTCCGATTTTGATAAAATTTGGTTTGAAGGTGTAAGGCAGGATAAACTTGAATGAGTTCGCGAACCAGCATGATCGGACAATGGGAACGGGGGTTTATGGGGGGTTTTATGGGGTAAAAATAGGTTTTTCCCATTTTTGACCCTAAATACACGAAATTTCACAATTTCTTTTTAAACCGTTTTGTAGAGCTTAAAAAAACCAATAATTTAGTATGTTGAAGCGTTATTATGCGCCTATTTGTTGCGGAGAAAATTCAAAAAAATTGTAATTTTGAAATTCCCATGTTATTCTTATGGAGAATAAGTTAACTGTTGTAGTTTGCTTGTTTATGAACATATTTTGATAGATTTTGGAAAATACTTTTATTTCTTACTAAACTATTATCAATTTATAAAAAAATCTTTTTATCCTCCCTGTTGCAGCAAACCTATGTACTCGTTAAACTTATTCTATTTAAATAGGAAATAAATGTGCTATTTTTATGGAGGCATTTTAGTGTAAATCCAATCAGGTTAATGGAAATTCGCTTAGTCTGCAGGTTTGCTGTGGCGGGGGTATTTCTTCTCAGTTCGCGTTCTTTATGATATCTCTACTATGTTATCGTTTGTTCGTATTTAGTGTTTAAATCAAACTTATTTCTTATCATAGTCTACTGTGAATTACTCATTAGTTGGATAAAACAGCTTTTGACACTCTGAATAACGTGACTAAGTTTGATCATAAAGTTGCAAGACATTAAAGTAGTAAAGTGATACTCATAAAGAGTATTAAAGTAGTTATTACCTTTTTGTCTGTGGTAGTGGTCTTGAATAGTAGTTTGCATATTACCTTACGTAAATTTCTGCAGCTTGTGTGGATCTTCGCTTCTTATGCCATCACACTAACACGACCCCTTGAAGTTGAAGTATTTCGCCAGCTTGTGCATATTGATCCATAAGTAGGCGAAATACTTAAATAATTTCTTATTAAATGGCGACCATACAAAGTAGGTATTTTAAGCCAAGTATAAATGGAGATGAATGTAGGATGAGTGGCGCGATCTTGTAGTCTTGTTAGTGATTAAGGCCGACATTTCTTAGACACAGCTGTTAATTAATAGCCCATACAGCTAATTGCAACTAAGGGACCTACAGTTTATAGTGGAATCCGAACCAAATTTTTGCCTTGGTATATACGAATTGGTCTAAATATCATGATAGTACTGCGGATAGTCGTAGTACTCACTCGTGCGGACGTTAATCCACTCCAGGGAGTATTGCATCCACAGTGCATGCCTATAAATATCCAGAATTCGCGACCTAGTAGCTGGATTACACTACGCCACCCGTCCCAGTCATAAACCTACCTAAAACGGTTTTTAGGTATCTATCCACAAGATCAAAACTCTATTGCGACCAAGAAGAAAAACTCTGAAATGTACACAACCTCCCTATAGTTTTTAATGTACTTGAGTTGTATGAAACATATTAGTATAATAGCATTGACTGTTGATACACAATACTTATAGTAATATGCAAACTATTACCTATTACTCAAGATCCCATTAAACAAAATAAGGTAATAATTAATTTGATATTTGTAGCTTGGTTTCAGCCAGATGTTGAATGTTTCAGCGATGGTGTCACGATTGGACCAGTCCGTAGGTGAAGTGGTTGCAGCACTGAGAACTCGCGGTATGTTGGGAAACAGCATCATAGTGTTTATGTCGGACAACGGAGCACCTACACACGGAATCCACTCCAACAGAGGCTCCAACTTCCCTCTTAGAGGGGTGAGTACCTGCAATAAATCTATCCCTGTAATTAGTACAATATCTATATTTTGGATGCTACTTTAAGGTTGGCGCAAAAGGGGTAAAATCGATACTCGAGGTATTTCTAATATATTTTAAGTGAGCAACAGTAGTACATAGCTACATTCGGTGGCTCAGTTGGCGCGAAAGCAGGGATGTCTAGCGTCCTGTGCTCGCGTATACAGGGTGTCCCATAAGTAAACAGACTAACTCCGGGAAATGGTTCTATGGGTCAAAATAAAGAGAAATCAAAAATAACACTTTTTCCTAAATCGCTTCGTTAACCAGATATCCGCCATTTTGTATTTTTTACATTAACATTTTTATTTTGGAATTTTTTCAAGCGATCTTTATTAAACTTGGTATGTAGGTTAAGGTAAAAAAGATCAATGTTAGAAAAAAATGTATCTTGATTCAACTTATAATTTCAAAATGGCGTCCATTTAAATTGTTTTTAAATTACTTAAAAACGGCTAATTTTATGAAAATTCTTCAAGAACACTTTTATTTGGCATTTTTAATTCCTTATCAAACCATACCAAGTTCAATAAGATTGAATGAGAAATAGCTGAAATATTAAGATTTTTTTTAGTTGTAAAATGGTGTTGAATAAGGGAGACAGGGAGTCTGGTTTGCCCCGTTTACAAAAAAAAATAATAATAATATTGTAGTTATTTCTTATTTGATCTTATTGAACTTGGTATCGTTTGATAGGGAATTAAAAATGCTAAATAAAAGTGTCCTTGAAGTTTTTTTTCATAAAATCAGCCGTTTTTTAGTAATTTAAGTTAAAAAATTTAAATGACCGCCATTTTGAAATTTTAAGTTGAATGAAGATGATTTTTTTTCTAACATTGGCCTTTTCTACCTTAACCTACATACCCAGTTTTCAATTTAATTCAATTCAAAAACCTTTATTTCATGCAACATCATGCTAAATATTTTTACATCCTCTTGTGCACACGCACGTGCGAGGAAATCTTTAGGTACATGCAATTTTACAATGTTGTTACTGGTTTTATAAAGATCGGTTGGAAAAATTCAAAAATAAAAATTGTTATGTAACAAATACAAATTCGTGGATATCTGGTTATCGAAGTGATTTTGGAAAAAATGTTATTCGTGATTTTCTCTTTATTTTGACCCATGGAACCATTTCTTGGAGTTTGGCTGTTTACTTACGGGACACTCTGTATAGTCGTATATCTTCCCGAACGTTGTTGCAGGGGTATAAAATACAGAGACTATAGAGTATTATATAGCCACGGTTAACATTGTTATCAATACCCTTCATACTTGTATGGTTTCGTCTCCCCCTTGCTTCGCTTAAACAAACGTTAATTAGTCTATGGTTCCACGCATAGGCACTTTAATACTTTAAATTGAAATGGCGACCATACGAATATAGTTATTTTGCCAAGTATGAATGGAGGTGAGTGGCGCGATCTTGTAAATCTTCTTAGTGACTAAGGCCGACATGTTCCTTAGACACAGTTGTTAATTAATAGCCCATTCAGCCAATGGCAACTAAGGGATCTACAGTTTATTGTGGAATCCGAACGACATATTTGCCTTCTAATTAACGAATTGGTCTAATTTTTAACATAGTAGATAGACGTTTTCGTTGGTCAAACGATATACCATTTTCAGAGAGAAATTTTGCGCATGTAGAATTTAAAATGTTAATTTGTACATGTTAACTGTCTAAACAAATCACAAATTTGAAAATACAAACTACAAGATAGATCGTTGATTTTATGGATACTTCGTGATCAAGCGCAGAAATGATTAATTATTTTTTACACCGATTACACAATTATCCACGAGAAGAGACCACGCCCTTTTCTAGAATGTTATAATATGTCAACAAGACACTGATGGCATTGAGAGTGTTCTTTTTTAAACATCCATCAATAAAGATGTAAATAGATGGATTAATCCAAGAGTGGGGGATATTTTTATTGCATTCTGTCATATTAACATATATTTAGGAAGGTTTATTTTTGTTTTCGGTGGTAAACTGCACGTATTATCGTGATGCTATAATAAGTTTTAACATTAATCTTAAAAACATGTAAATGTAAACAAGAGTATATTTTTATAATTCTTATCATCATCATCATCTCTATATTAAAACGTGACAGCGTTTCTTTCAATTTTATTTGAGATTTTTTTAAATTTTTTGTAAAACCTTCTTATATTCAGCACAGCAGTTTTGCATATTAAGTGTGAATTTTTCCAGATACCGGTATGCAGGCAAAACTATTATAGGAATACACATTTAAACTTTCGTGGATAATATCTGACAGTTTAAAGCAAAAACAAATTATGGATATAAATCATAATAGTCTATATTTCATATCCAATGATTGCATAAAAACACAGCTTTATAAATGTATGGGCCCTAAGGTAGGCCTATAATATTGAAAGCTACTTTCCTCACTGGTTAAAAGTAGTTCAAATACTTCCCTAACCTCACCATTGCACACTTAATTCCGGTTGATATTTTCATTAACACATGTGCTCTAGTCTTTTCCGCGAAAAACTGAGAAATAAGGACACTGATGTGTTACCAACAGACATACACACAAAAATACTAAATTGGATTAGGACACTTGCTACGCTTTAACTAAAGTAAAGTACAAAGTACATTTAAAATTAGTGCATTTGAAATCTTTGTAGGTGTCGTCAAATTTTATCATATCGTATTTAGCCTACTTATCGCGCAGTAATAATGCCGTATGTAATAACAATTTGCTTAGTCCGAAGTTATGTCGAAATGACTGCATATGAAATTAAGTACTAAAGACGATTTAGATCGGTAATTTAATTTACAATACACATGCCACGAACTATTGATACGTAAACAACGTAAAGCGTAAATAAAAATTGTGGTTTACTAATAATATGTTTTATTCAAATGTGTTATACTATTTTCATAGTATAAATTAACATTTTAAAATCCATACAGAAAGCTCAAAGATTATACAGTGAGACATCAATTAAATTTATTATAACTGTAAGGAATAAGGTGCAACACCAAAGGTAACTAAGTTGTAAATAGTTATATGTGTTGGTACCTAAAAATGGATCTCGCAAACACTGGTTCTAACGAAAAGAACCAGAACCAAAAACCAACATTTACTACAGTTAAGAACAATAGTACTGTTAAATATTTAGTAATTCAACTAAGGACATTTAATAAAATATTTATTTAATAACATATGAACTATATACAGTCAAATATAAACAATTAATCAAGTAGTATTAACATTCAAGTCAAGTTTTTAGTTCAGTTATTGAAAGGATACAACAGCTGATATGATGACATCACTGTCCAAAGTTCACTACAGCACTTCGTACTAGTCAGTTCAGTTTAGACTCACCTCTCTCACAGTACACAGTGCTTACCTTTTGGTTTAGTTCATATTAAATATTTTAATCTCTCTTTCTCTCTTACCGCTCCAAGTGCATTATTTCATCATTTCTCATTTAAATATGGATTCCAAATTTATAGTACCAAGTGTCAAGCTAGGATCCAAGAAGATATTTTTATTTAAAGTAAATGTGTTGTAAATTTTCGTGTACAGTCCAGAATATTCATGAGTAGTGAATTGCTTTCTTTTTATTAATGAAGAAGAGTTTTAATTTAAATCAGTGAAGAATTACATACTACACAACAATAGTCATTTCTCAACATCATCTTTCATCTGTGGTCCTTCGATTCTCGTCACTCTGGCCAGAGCCATCGCTTCTCTGCTCATCTTGTTCCTGTTCTACCAAAACCCTAATGGATCTTCAGTTTTAGGATCTAAAGGTATTTCTCACAATTTTACCTCTTAATACCATATTTAACATGGTCCTTCGAGCCGGATGTTTCCCAGCCTATGGAAAATAATCTACTGTGACTATTAAGTTTTGTATTTATTTGAACTGAATAAATTAATTGAATAAATCTGTCATCAACATTAAGTATCATTAACAAGAGGATTAAATATTTTTGATCACATTATTATCAATTTATTAAATTGTTGCAGTAATTTGTGAAATAACACATAAAGTTTTGTTGTCCCAGACAGAAAATTTTGTTCTCAGACTCAGACTGTACTGTCTACAACTCCTGTATTTTCATGCATAGTTTGTCTATTCTCTATTGTGCATTATCGGGCTGCATCCTGTCTGCCCCCCTCTCTCCCCCCTGTAATGTGAAACAAGTTTCTCTCTTGTTGCTGAATATTCAGAAAATCATGGAAGTCATACCAACTTCACAGCTGATCAACACTAGCGCTGCTGATGGATAGAAATGAAAACTTAAATGTCATTATGCAAGACTTTGTTTATGTTTTCATAACCTCAATTGTTTGCTTACACTTTTAAATTAAAGTGACAGAAGAATGTTTATTAATACGGATTGAACATTTAATTACAGTTTGTGTTTGAAATAACATGTTTTATTGAATTTCAAATTTATTATCTGGAAATAATTGCAGGTAGATATTTTCTGGGACTTAAACTTTTTATAGGCCTATACTATGGCTGAATATTTCTCTCTGATTTCAAGTTGACTAATATTAATATTTAATACAATGAATCCTGGCTGTCTTTAAATAAGTTTTGCTCATTATAAACTTATTTTAATCTGCATTTATTTTTATTTTGGAATTTTATTGAATTTAAGACTTATTCAAAATGAGGTTCTCAACTTTTGTGAAGCAATCTGAGCTTGTGCTAGCCAGGCTTAAGTCAATTGAAGCAAAAGTGCTTGCTATCGAAAAGGAACCTATCACTCCTCAACTTATAACAAAGCTCACTCTTTTGGATTCCACCGCTACAGCCAAAAATAATGATTTTGACAAATTAGTGAATAAGTTGTTCGGCACTGTGCCTTTACCTGAGGAATTAGATGAAAGTGAAAATATCACTACAATTTCAACATTACAAGATGAAATAAGTGATCTCTATGTGTCTATTCACTCTTT